CTGCCGCTGCCGCCTTGTCTGTGAAGCTTGTCTCCTTGTTTCCCAAGTTTGTCTCTGTTCATGTTTTGGCTCTTGGCTGCCGCTGCCGCCTTGTCATTTTCTTGCTTGCCTTTGACGTGGATGCTGTTATGTGATTTAGGTTTTTGAGTGGGATGGTGTGTGGCAAACTAAGCACCGTTACTTTCGGCAGGAAACACACCCTTTTAGTGAGAACGCGCAGGCGTTCTGAAAGGTTTGCACATGACCACGTGCGCCCACTTGCACACTTGGGCTGTTGAAATAACCCCGTGCTCAGCAGTTTAGTATTGGCATGCGCCTTAACACTACTTTTGCATTGCCGGCCCGGAAAACGATAACAGTAAAAAAACAATAACCGGTTTATACAGGATGCTATCTGGGGTCTATGCCGGTCTAATTTTGTTCATCACGTTGATCGGTGCTTTCTCGTCGGGCGACACGGGCCCCTCCTCGCAGGGCCCCGGACTTGCCGTTCGTGGCCCGATGAGGCGGGTGGGAGAGGTCGGTCAGTCGCAGCGAGCGACCGTTGAGGTGGCGTCGTGGAAGGCGTTTCGGGTCAGAGGTGTTTTTTGTTTGCGATTTATGCCAGCACTGGCGTCAACAGTTCCTTTTTGTGGCGTCAACTTGAGTTCCGCTGGTGGTAACGTCTGTAGCTATACTATATCCATCTATATCCCTGTAGCCTCCAGCTCTTTGGGAACGGCATGTAAGCACCTTTTTTTGAAAGCAATAGTTCCTGATTCCTGGGTCACATGCGCAAAAACGATGGAATATATATATATATATATAATTATATATATCAGAAAAACCGAGGATGCTATCAAATTTCAAATTCTGCATCACTGTTGCATTCATAGCCCCACGAAAACATACCCGAAGGCGGTGGAGAAAGGGAAAGCGGCGTAGCGGCGTGGCGGCGTGGCGCAGCAGCACACAGACCCAGACAAGGCTTGGACAAGCCCCGAACAAGGAGGGAAAGACAGCAGACAAGGCCCGGACAAGGCGGAACCAGGAAGACAATAGAAGGACACAGGTTCGCAAGGGCAAGGACAGACTCTCTCGTCTTTCCTCTCTCCTCTCTCTTCTCTCCTCTCTCTTCTCTCTTCTCTCTCGAGCTGATTTTGCAGGGACGCCTAACAATTTTGTTTCTCCTTCATTCATTGGCTTCCTGATTGGGACTCAAATCACCCACTGATTTCCTCATGGGTTTCAGATTATTGACGAGAACATGAGACCTCAGCCCCTCCTGTAAAAACACATATTTTCCGTTCAATTTGCCAAATAGTGCCACACGTTTGGGAACCCTTCGCACTTCAATGGAGTCAACTTTCACAAAACTTCCCTGGAAGGAATTTCAGCGTTTGGCGGGACAGTGTGGAATATGAGCGTGCGGTCCTGGGGCTTTCACATTCAGACATAACAAGACTTGAGCTGCTTTCCGCGTGGGCCCTTCAAACGTTGAGCAAGTGTTTGCTGCTGCCCTGATTTGTTTGCATCATTTTGCAAGCCTTGCGCCTTTGTTTTGTTTATTTTTGCTGCGAGTACAGGACTGACAGGACTCATTGTTTGAACCACCTATGACATACATACAACACTGTAAAATAACATCTGAAAAGGCCTGCCGGTTTTTATGCGAAACCCTCAATACGTAGACAGGCAAAGGCGGCAAAGTCAAGCTTATTCGTCACAGATATTTACTTCTAGTCTATCATCAACTGAACTTGGACCCTTGGATCACTTTGGTAAAACACCTTTGGGGGGGCTTTATTGATCAACCAGGTGAAGTCATGCCACTCGCCCAGACAACCCTTTTTCTCGTGAATCTGCAGGGGATTTTGATGTGGGGCGAGGTGGCTGCGGAAAACCAGCTCCGCTGCAGGTGAAGGTGACCGGGAATCATTATCCTTGTCATTGGATCTTCCGAAGCAGAGGGGGACTCATTGATCTCACTGGTTGACTTCGTTTTCTGTGGTAGAGACAGGTCGCAGGAAGATCTGCACAATGGGTATCAGAATTGGATTCGTCAGGATTCATCCACTCGATGGTCACCGACAGCAGAAGTTCCAAGATCCTGAACTTGTTTTTTCGGATTTGTTTTCAACTGTTCCTTACCTGGGTGAATCCCCTCCTGGCGATCTTTTTGGTGTTTTACTTTTTCCAGTTCCTGGACAGCACATCCATGATTTTTGCAGGGCCTTGTGGTGGCCCTGCTGACGTGCATCAAATGAGGGGGTAAGCAACTTGTGGAGGGGTTTAGTTGCAAAGGATTGACTCGTTAACCCCGACTTTAAGACCCCCTATGCCTTTTACAGCTTTCGGTGGCTTGTTCTCCTCTGCGGATGGTCCAAGAGTCAGAGATCCCCTGGAGTCCTCAAAGGGGACCGGGGGCGGTTTGGTCGGTCAAAAGGACCAGGTAGTCTATGGTTGGTGAGGGGGTGAGCCTTGGCGAGCTGCGAGTACCGGGTCTGACTCTGCGTGAGTGGTTCGGACCGACATACCAGCTGAGCGATTCATTTGGAGTCCCAATCAACTTGCTGGACATAAGGATTAGAAGGGGGACACTTGGAAAGCACCAGCTGACGACCCTGACGAAAGAGCACGAAACCCTGACGAAAGGTCGCTGAGAAAAAGGGACCCATCGCCATCAAACCGGGATTGACCGCTCCGATTCTGAAGTCCCAAAAGTTCTGATGATCGGTTTGATCGGTGAATTTGGCACGAAGACACGCTCAGCCCCTTAACTCGCCCAGCGAGAATTCCCGTCGCGTTCTGGAACTCGGAACCGGCTCCGCCGGTGCCGGTGGAAGACTGAGCACAAAGCACATAGGAGCGGGGGTCATCACGGGCCGTCGAGCAGGGGAAAGAATCATTGGAGAGGCTCCTCAGCCTTAGTTGATTCAGGTGATTCAGGATGATTTTGACAATTTTTCGGACTGTAGAGGGGTTCCCTTGCAGACAGGGGTTCTTCCACTTCACTACACTTGTTGGAAGGATGGTCTCTTGAACCGACCCTCGAGTCAAGAAGAGTTCCGCCCTGTGCCACCGTAGTCGAGGACTTGAGGACTCGAGGACGCTCATGTTTTGTCTCACCCAGTGTGATCGTCTCAATGGTATTTCTATAATGATTTCTAGCTGGCGCAGCGTAACTCGCCCAAGAGGTTCGGGGATCCCAGGCCATCTCAGTCTTTGCACATACAGAGCCGAACAGAGCCGAACAGAGAAGAACAGACGCCACGGTTGTTGGGCCAGTCCCAACCAGTCAAATCGTTTTTTCTTTGGGCTCGAGACTCCTCCACTCCGCTTGACTTTGCGTGAGCAAAGAGCCATGGGGCTTCTTGGCTGGGGGGTGTTGCTTGTGGTCCTGTTTGAGCCAGATCCAGATCGGAGGATTTGGACGATTTTTCGCGAGATTGAATGGTTTCCATGCTCGGAACACGTGCTCAAAGGTCGGCTGCATGCTGGATCCTGGATGTTCAGGGTGATTCGATTTCTGCGAACGCCGCCGTCACCGCGAGGTTGCGACTGAAACCTGAAACTCGGGCCAAGATGCGATGGTTCACCATGAGCTTAATGAGCGATGAGACCCTGTGGGGTTTTGGAACTTGCGGTCTGCACCTGAATGACTGTTGAATTTGAATCAAACAGTCCTGACTTGGATGCACGGACTTGCGGACGATCTGTCTCGACGCGCGCCCACTCCCCCCTTCCCCAGGTTGTCTGGGGGGTTGAGGTGGGTGTGAAAAAATAAAGGAATATGTACACATGAGCAAAGGAACCAGGTGGTATGTACACGAAGCTACGAACGAACGGGCAGGCACAAAGACAAGAAGTAAGGACGACAAAAGTGACCAGCTCTCATGTTCATGGTACAAGTTCTATGTAAGTCTAATTAAGGTCCGGGAAGTCAATTAGATCCAAGCTCTTGGATGGTCAAACATCCTCATCTCCGCGGGGGTTGGATCAACAGTCAACAGGATTCATTCCCAAACTGCTGCAACTTCGGCCAGTTGCCTGAAGGCTTGGTCCTTCCCCCCCCACACCCATTGGACCGTCTGGGCTGCCACTGCGCCCACTCGACACCGGGACGTCCACGCGTCGCCCGTCGTGCAACGGCTCAGGAACGGGAACGGAGTCGCGTGCAACTTCTGCACCGGAGTGGAGGGCAACGCGATCGAGGCGCCGTCGGGTGCCTTCGGGGGCATCTCTACTAATGGAGTGGATGACCGATCTCCGCGGAATTCGACCGATCGCGACAACTTGAGTAGTGTCCTCTCTAAAGAGTGACTTTCCTAAGCTTCGGTGTCAGTATCAGTTGGGGGGCTCTGAGGAGTCAAGAGTTTGGGTGTTTCCAACACCGAACGCAAAAGCAGACAGCGAACGCCGGATTTTTCCCAGGGCTCCTTGGCGAAAGATGGCCAAAGGGAGAAGCGGGGCCCCCACCGGCAGGGAGGCTTAGTGATTCGTGTTGAGCTGGCAGAAAGGTAGAGCCCTTTCTTCCTCGGCTTTCAGACGGCACCCGACCCGGCGCCCGACCCTCCATTTTTTTGAATCTATTTGTTTGGGGGGGAAACGATCGGTCGATCGGGAGAGGAAGGGGGCCGATCGTCTTGAAGGAGCTTCCTGCATGGCCACGGTTCTTCCTGCATGCAATTCTTCGCCCAGCGATGCTTCGAGAAGCGGTCCCCAGTCCCAACTCCAAGACCTAAAGTAAGTAGTGAACACCAGTGGGCTCAGGGCCCTGACGGGGCCGCGACGCGGCCGAGGTTTGAAAATGGTGCAACCTACACTGGCGAGTGGGTAGGTCAGACGGGGAGATGGTGAAGGCAGAAGGGGTGTATATATTTTAAGTATCGGGTGGAGGAAGACCGATTAGACCGATTGTGTTCTGGTTGAATGAAAGGATTGAGACCCGTTTTGAAGACCTCTAGTCTATCTAATCTGAGTAGTCTCGTTTCTGTCAGGTTTAGTGCAACAATTTCTTTGCATTCTATCAACTGAACTGAGCAAACGAACGCGTCATGTAGACTCTTGATATCTCTTGATTATATTTCAACCGTTTCTCTAGTTTGACGGGGTGGCTTTGAAGAGCACTAGGTTGGAGGCTATCGCTATTAGGTTGGAGGCCATCGCTACTAGGTGGGAGGCAATCGCTATTACGTTGGAGGCCATCGCTACTAGGTTGGAGGCCATCGCTATTAGGTTGGAGGCCATCGCTACTAGGTGGGAGGCAATCGCTATTAGGTTGGAGGCCATCGCTACTAGGTTGGAGGCCATCGCTATTAGGTTGGAGGCCATCGTTACTAGTAACAACGTGATGCCAGGCAGCTGTCGGCACGGCGAGGGGGGAGCAGGCAGGAAACCCTCGGTGGAAACCCGAAGAAACGCGGGGCCAACTTGCAGCTCGAATCTGGCAGAACTGGCTATCTATTGTTGCATTTTTCTTTGGATCTATGAAGCCCAACTCTAATCCAGCCAGGGACTCGCATTGAGAATATACACCATCCAACAGGTGCAATTCAAGAGTATTCTCGGGTAGTCTATTGGGACCCCTGGCAGTTCAGTGAGGTGTTTTCATCCACCCTCACTACTTACTTACTTTCGAGTCCAAGATCTGCAGAAAAAAAACTCCTCTCAAGTCAGATTCAGAGCAAATACAGACAAATTTCCTCCAGTACCTTCAGGGCCTGAACACAAGAACAGGTGTAGTTGCAGAGCAGCATTGGTAATTAGACACATCGATGGCGGAGAACTGGAGAACGTACTGAAACAGCACCAGAGGCAACTTGCCCTTCTGACAGGGTCTTGACAAAGGTCCAAGATGGCTGTGCCTTTAAAAGCAGGGAACCTCCAAGTTTCCTGCATCGATGTGACACTCAAACGCGCTTAGGACTCTAGAGTGTGTTCCCTCTTTGGTGGTTTGGACAGAGGCCCCCCATAGAAAAGATGGGGAAGGCCTACTGTAAGCATCCACAGCAGGACGGAGAGGGCGCAATTCTCCTTCATGCTTCATGTGTTGTGCGGGTGTGGCACACCCTTCACTGACAACCCCAATCTTTCATGGCAGGGGCGGTGGTCATGCGGTGGTCATTCGCACCACATGGATCCAGCAGGGAACATCATCTACGTCTACGTCTTGAGCCTTTGATGAACACATTCCATGGACTCAGTTTGATGCCGTTCCTCC